ACCCCAGGCACTAGTACATGCTGGGGGCCGCCCAGCTGGAAAGAAGCTTTGTGGAAAAGGACCTGGGCATCCCAGTGGACACCAAGTTGAACATGAGCCAGCAACGTGTTCTTGCAGCAAAGAAGCTGAATGGCATACTGAGCTGCATTAGGTAAATTATTGCCAGCAGGTTGAGGGAGGTGATCCTTCCCCTCTTCTTAGCACTGGTGAGGCCACACCTGGAGTACTATGTCCAGTTCTGGGCTTCTAAGTAGTAGAGTAACATGAGCATACCAGATAGAGTCCAGCAAAAGACCACCAAGATGATGAAGGGACTGGAGCAGCTCTCACATGCGGAAAGGCTGAGAGAGCTGGGACTGTTCAGCCTGGAGAAAAGAAGGCTCAGGGGATCTTATCAACGTATATAAATACCTGCAGGGAGGGTGCAAAGAGGACAGAGCCAGGCTCTCTTCAGTGGTGCCCAGTGACAGGACCAGAGGCCACGGACACAGACTGAAGCACAGGAGGTTCCCTTTGAACATCAGGAAAAGCTCTTTCACTGTGAAGGTGACCGAGCACTGGCACAGGTTGCCCAGAGAGGTGGTGGAGTCTCCATCCTTGGAGATACTCAAGAGCCATCTGGACCTGGTCCTGGGCACCTGGCTCTAGGTAGCCCTGCTTGAGCAGGGGTTTGGACCAGATGACCTCCAGAGGACCCTGCCAAACTCAACCATTCTGTCGTTCTGTGATTCTAATCAGATGGATCTTCTAAGTATAGTCAAGTAGAAGACTACTCCAGTACACGTTGTCTACTAGTTTAATATATTTTTATCCACACAATAAATTTTGACCACAGCAAACAGGTTTCTTCTATGACTGAAATATGCTCATCGTATGTTCTTCCTTAATTTCTTTTGAACATCTGCTTAGGATAAAACATTCATATGATGGAGTGAAACCTCAAAGACTGATTGATATCAAGGGAAGAGTTTCTCCCTAACCTTTTTCCACATTTTTACTTTCAGAAGTTCTCATCTGCATTTCTGTTTTTCTCTAATAATTTGTTTTCATCTGATAAATAGTTCACAGTGATCTATTCTTATGTGAACAATAAATTCTACTCTTCTATGATCAGAAGTAGATTCTTTTGGGAAACATGAGTATTCAGTCATTTTATTCCAATAAAACAATACAACTTTGTGTCTGCTTGTGCCAGGGACTTGATTATCGTACTGGGAAACAAATCTATGCAGCAGGTAAAACATGAGTAACAGCAGTTGCAAGCCTCATTATATTGCCCCATTTAACCCTGTTAGGGCTGGCTCACCCCTGCTAATGGGAAAGCTATTGAGTGCCTGTGCCGCTTCAGCTTTCT